GCCGTGTACAGAAACCTGAAGGAGAAATGGAAGAGAAGGGAACCAACCAGCTCAGACTGACACACGACGGCCGCCAACCGGCGCACACGCCATGCAAGTATCGATTTTTTTGTGCACTCTTGACGTTAGCTGTTTCTTGCTTTCACATTTGCTTTCCGCTTGCGTCTGACGACGACCTGGAGAACCAGCGTCGAAAATTTACGCAATAAACCCTCTTGTCCCAAAGAACCCACCTCTTTTCAACATATATATATGTAAATGGATAGCTGAGGTAGTGTGTATTCCGAGATAATATGATGAAGAGAGAAGGCTCGTCGGAAAAATTGAGTTGTACTCGTAAATTTTCGAGCTGGTGACACCAACCCGTCGTCAGACGAAATAACCAGTGGAGAAAGTGATCTGGTCAGAATAAATTTGTTGGTGTGACAGGGCAGCCAGTGACAGGCAAGCAACTAATGTGTGAATGGGGGTGGACAGATAATTAGGCTGGGATCCATGGCGGGGGAGGGAAGGGGGAATTGTTGCGTCTCCCTGTGTTGGAGGGTAGGGGGGATACCGAATCAATGGAACTATGGGCAGTTGGCCTAATGGTCTTCGATCCGGCATGCGGGCGGAGGTCGGTGAGCCCAACGTAGAGGTGTTACGGGTTGCAGTTGCGGTTCGCTGTGTCTGGGGGTGTAATGGGGTGACGAAATAGTGCGATTCTACATGGCCCAGTGTGGATTAGCGGCTGTTGTTAGGTCGTGGGCGCAAGTCAGTGAGCCGGGCGCGCAGACCTTCGTAATGAGCATCTAGATCGACATGGCGATTGATGCTTGTCGTGTTAGAGTGCCAGGCTTCGAGGAATTCACGAGCGTGTTTGGTGTTCGCCATGGCAACAACTTCAGTTCCTTCCCAGTTGAAGCGATGGTCGCATTCAAGGGCGTGTGCAAACACGAGTGACAAAGGATCACGTCGGCGAATGGCTAGTTTATGCTCGTTTATACGCGTCCCAAGTCGTCGGCCTGTATGACCAACATAGTCGCAAGAGCAGTTGGCGCACGGAATGCGGTAGATGACATTGGTTTGCTGCTCTTTAGGTATAGGGTCTTTCACTCGCGATAGTGTTGTGCGCACAGAGGACGCCGGCTTGTGGGCAATGAAGATGCCAAACCGGTTTAGTTGTCGGGCGATCGCTTCGGAAATACCCTGCATGTAGGGTAGCGAGTAGAATTTCCGATGTTCTGGTCCCTCATTAAAACCAAAGCCTTGTGTTTGTCTTTGATGCCTGAGACAATTTTTTACAAAGCTGACCGGGTATCCGTTGAGTCGGAATAACCGATACAGGAAAGCGAGTTCTTTCTTACGTAGATCATCGCTGCTGCAAGATAACCCAACCAACATTCCGGTAGAACACATTTCAGAACTTCTTAGACTCTGTCTCAAGAACTACTGCCAATTCGATGGAAAGTTTTATCAACAGGTTAGGGGCACAC